TACCTCATTTCTCAGCAGGAACTGTCTCGAGAGGGAAGAATTTTGATGAAGAGAGCAATGCTTCCATGAGCACTGCTAGGGATGAGACCCGAGACGGATTCTACATGGAGGATGGAGATCCGTCCGTAGCTCAGCTCCTTCATGAAAGAACGTTTGCCTTCTCATTTTGGCCTAAGGTTGGTGGGGTTTTGTTGTTGTTGTTGTTTTGGTGACCAAAAAAGAATAGGGTGGAGGAAATCGTTCTAGCTTGATTTTTCAACTAATTTTAAGGTAAACTCTGACACAGTGTTATGAAGATTGTAGATTTTTCTTGTGTTTTTAAAAGAATGCTCTGGGAAAGCCCAAAGAAAAAATTCTGTGGAATAACTTTTTTAATAGGATAGGAAAGGTGCCAGGAAGCAAAGCGAATAAGAAAAAAGAACTGTTCATAAGGATCTTTGCTTCCTTGCGGTTTTTTAGATTGTCTAGTACAGTCTATGGATTATTGTTTCAAAAGACTCACCCATCTGACAAAATAAGATGTGTGAATCTTTTTTAAAAAGAATTTTTTATTGTGGTAAAAAACGCGTACAATGAAATGTACAATCTTGACTGTTGTTAAGTGTGTAGGTTGTTGTAAAAGAGACCCCCAGGACTTTTTTTTATCTTGCAGGACTGAAACTCCTTCCCTGTAGATCAACTCCCCTGCCCCACTGCCCCTAGACAACTACTATTCTACTTCCTGTTTCTGTGAACCTGATTACTTTAGCTTAGATGCGCCTCACATAAGTGGAATCGTACACTACTAGTTCTTTTGTGACTGGTTTACTTCACTTAGTGTAACGTCCTCAAGGTCCATCAGTGTCAAAGCACGTAACAGGGGTTCCTTCTGTTTTAAGGCTGAATAATACTCTATCGTGTGTATATACCACATTTTCTCTATCCATTCATCCATCATTGGGACCTTTGGGTACCTTTCTCCTCTTGGCTTATTATGGTGCTACTGTAAATGTGAATGGACTAATGTCTCTTTGAGACCCTGCTTTCATTTCTTTTGGAAACATACCCATAAGTGGTATTGCTGGATCATGTGATGGTTCTATTTTTAATTTTGGGGGGAACCTCTATACCGTTTGCCATAGCCATTGTACCATTTTGTAAGCCCAACAACAGTGCCCGACGGAACCTGTGTGGACTTTAAAACTGTGTGTTTTGGGTTTTTTTTTTTTAAATCCTGAAGCAGAGCTTTCAGATTTAAGACAACTTCATACATTTGGAACCCCGTAATCTTCTGAACTGGGGAGAGGGTGGGCGTTGACCCATTTGCTCGAATACATTATGAGATAATTCCAAATGTAGTTATCTATAACCCAAAAGCAAAGGAGAAATTACTTTTTTGGCTAACTGGGATAATTTTATAATAAATCCCTATGTAATTTGGGTCTGTTTCTCAGGGTGGAGAGATAATCATCCTAATCACCATAACAGGGCTGTCTGGTTTAAAACAAACAACACAAAAAAGGCTTCCGTCGACTCATTCCCGGGCTGCTCTCCCATAGTATTCATTGTGAAAGAAACAATGTGAAAGTTTTAACTGAAGAGTGTACTATCGGAGACTTTTTTTTTTTTTTCTCCGTGTGCTTCCTTATTTCCCGTTTTGCTAGTCTGCCTTATTGAGTTGAGAAGGCAGCTTCCCAGGTAAGCAGAAAGGTCTATAGTAGCAGGCTTTTAATCTATGGAAACTGGGTCTAAGAGCTGTAATTAGACATTTTTAAAGGACACGCTGCGATGAAACTTGAAGTGATAATAGGTGGGAGATGCAAATTGACGCTCATTAGGTGTTCCTAGGTTGGTGCCCATTCGTAATGCTGAACTTTATTAATAGTGACGCTAATGATGTCCCACTTCCTGGGACAGGCTGCAGTCCAGCCCGGGGACTGAAGCACCAGAGCGTCAAGAGGCTGACTGCAGGCTTCCATTATCACCTGCTGACGTGCACCAACAATCTTTA